TTTTTTTTGGTTTTTCTCCGGTACCGGGAACCGAACTCACGACCTTGCGCTTGCCAGGCAGGCGCTTTTGCCGCTGAGCTAAATCCCCAGCCCCTACATAGTTCAAAATTAGCCTGAACTACATAATGAGACCCTGTCTCAAAAAAATAAAAATAAAAATTATCCCCATTTTTTCTTTAAATTTCCCTCAGGTTTTCCCCTTGGAGCCCCCAAATTCACCTAAATCCCCCAAGAATCTTCCTCAAATTTATTCTTTTATCTCTATCCTGGGATTTAATCTCACGGTAAGTGCACTCGTACCCCTCCCTATGACTGGCTGGACGCGCCTTCCTTGGGCCATACTACTCGTTCCCATTGGCTTCTCTCTGCCAAGTCCTCGCCCACTCTTGCTCTCCAGCGCTCCGCCGCCGCTGGCAACCCCGCAGGGATCCTTCCGGGCCCGGCGGCCACAGGTGAGATTCCCATTGCTAGGCCCGGAGGGGACGCTCCTGCTCCCCACGACTCTTTGCTCCCCTGGGCGACCACAGAGATTTTGTAGGCAGAGGTTGCAAAGAGGACATCAACTTGAGGCCCTCTACGAGCTCCGGTCACCTACCGCCCTGGGCGCCGCCATCTTGCCGGGCTTACGTAACCGGAAGGGGCCGATCTTTCCCTCCAACCCCCGGTTCCCGTAGCGAACGCTCTCTTATGGCCACGCCCCTCCGTTTTCCAGCCCTCTCCTTAAAGGCGCACGCACTAATTAAACTCTTGGGTTTAAAGATTACTTGGAGCGTCTTTTCCCACAGGCTTTAAAACAGAACTCTGCAAATCCTTCTCTAGAAGAGGTGGACAGTTCTTCCTGTTGGGGTACTTTCCTTTTTTTGGAGTGCAGTCGCAGTCTCCCTCAGCTTCCTTGTTCCAGCTCTCACTAGCCGCATCTATTCTCTGCTACACCATTCTGTTTTAAACAGAGGATGGCGTGACTGAAAAACACCACTCTTTGGAAAAGTGGAGCAGATAGTGAGGTTAGACTTCAAGATAAGGACTGCAGTGAGAGCTGAAGACTGGTACCGTAGTGTTGGGCTTCAGTTTGGAGTTCGCGCCTACCTCCCTTGGAGACTCAATGTAAAGTCTTCATCTTTTTGAGACAGGGTCTCGCTATGCAGTTCAGGCTGGCCTTGAGCTCACTTTGTAGCCCAGGCTGGTCTGGAACTTGCAACAATCCTCCTGCCTCAGCCTCCCGAGTGCTGGGATTACAGGCGTGCGCCACCACGCCCGGCTTTGTGAAGTCTTTGGATGAAGTTATTTATTTATTCATTCCGCAGATACTGACTGCCACAGGGTGACAGCTCTGTTCTGGGTGTTGAGGTTACTCTAGTGAGCAGCCCAGGGCCAGCTTGTGCTCAGGGGGTCAACATGCCAGGCAGGGAGAGAATGGATAAGAAACAAGCGAATAAACAAGATAATTTCAGGCAGGGTTCGATTAGAAGTAGATAAAAATAGGTACTGTAACAGGGAGTGACTGGGGCATAGGGTCATCAGCAAGAGCCTCTCTGAAGAGGTGACATAGAAGTGGAAGTGAATGATAAGGAACTCAAAGTTCTCAGGGAGAAGGAGAGTTCCGTAGGAGACTGGATGATAGCGAAAAGTCAGAGTGATCTGAGGAAGGGGCCATGAGCTAAGGAAAGCAGGTGGCTTCCACAAGCTGGAAGAAACTGTAATTGAGTTTCCCCTACAGCCTACAGAAGGAACTAGCGCTGTGCTCCTGCTGGGAGCCGCTGAAGCTGAAAACTAATTTTATGTGCAGGATGAAGCCAGCCTGAGAACGTGGGAGCGCCTCGAATTGCATAAACAAGCAGCTGTAACTTGTTAACTGATTTGAGGCGGAAATTCACCAACCTCTCAGTGTATAAATAACCGCTCTACTGTTTTGGGGCCGTTCCCCTTCTCTGCTCAGGAGAGAGGACCTCCACCTGAGCCCAGCTTTTTGTCTCTTGTCTGTATTTTTCCTCATTCTCACCGCCGTTCCTTCCCAGGGTACAGCAAGAACCCAGCGGATCCTTTCATGCACCTAAGTTAGACTTCTGACCTCCACAACTGTATGTACAAAGACAACATTTGTTTTAAGGCGTAAAGATCGTGGTACTTCCTTATAGGGCCAGCAGGAACCGAATCCCATGGAGTAGCCCGCTGGAGAGGTCTGTTCTGACCACGTGACTTGGAGATGTTCCCCGTGGAGCTGCTGAGTTGGGGGCCGGAGCTCATGACTGAGTCAGGGCCTTGGGAGCCCCTGACTTACCCAGGGATGGTAACATGTTGGGCTTGAGCGAGGCCAAGGCAGCCTGGCCGCTTCTCCCCGCCCCCTCCGCAGCAGGGCCACCCTGACAGGGCTAACCACCGTGACAGGTGCAGGCTCCGCAGACCTGGCCACTGCATGGTCGCCGGCAGCCTGGACACCCAGACACAGTGCTGGGGGGCCCTGGGATGCGGGCAAACCTGGGGTCAAACGGAAAAAGTTCAGCAAAGGAGGCTGAGGAGGAGGGGCTGGAGGTGGAGGGGGGCATGGGAGAGGCAGGAAGAAGAGGCCTGGCAGCTGCAGACACCAAGCGCCTCT